CCAGGGAAGGTAGTAATGGAGCCAGGGAAGCCCTGCAGAGGCAAGGAAGGGCGAGTAGCATGGCCGGCAGGTGGGATTCTAAAAGTTGGCAAGGTCCTTGTATGACAGAACAGGGCGCTCCATGAAACCTCGGGTTTGACCTTTGAAGTCAGAATCATGATATACCCTAACAGGACCTCCCAGTCTTTTTTTTTTTTTCTTTCTTTGTGAATGGCACCGCTGCTACGTCCCACCAGGGCCAGCCGGAAACCCAGTCTTCCCTGGCCCCATCCATACAGTGATGACATCGAGCAGCTGACTCAAAATGTAATAAACATAATGGCAGCTAAACTTTTCCTTCGTGCGCCGCGTGCCAGACTCTCTGCCAAGTGCCATGTGAACAGTTCCTGTCGGTTATGTGCTGTTACCTCGGTTTTATATCTGAGGAAGTTGATGCACTAAGGGAGTTAGTTGCCCAAGATCTCGGCTTCATTGAGCTGGGATTTGAACTTGGCCAGTGTGGCCTCCTATCTTGCATTTGTAATCTTTATACCATACTCAGAGATGACCCATGGGAAATAGTCTAGGGCAGTGGTTCTCAACCTTCCTCATGCCGCGACCCTTTAATACAGTTCCTCATGTTGTGGAGACCCCCAACCATAAAATTATTTTCGTTGCTACTTCATAACTGAATTTTGCTACTGTTATGAATCGTAATGTAAATATCTGATCTGCTATATGTGTTTTCTGATGGTCGCGACCCACAGGTTGAGAACCGCCAGGCAATTGGATTGCCCACTGGCTTCTTCATTTTATATCCTTAAATCATTTTTAGTCAGAGGGAGCCAGGAGTTTGTTTATTCAAAGTTCACACTTTCTATGGCTTGGAAGGGTCAGTAGGATTTAGGTGGACGGGTAACAGGTACCCTGAGGAGCGAGTTTGGAAGTTTTTGTTTCGTGTTTGTCTTTGCAGGACCCAGCCTGGATGCCCACTTGGGAGGCCGGAAGCACCGGCATCTGGTAGAACTACGAGCTGCCCGAAAGGCTCAGGGACTTCGCAGCGTGTTTGTCAGTGGCTTCCCCCGGGATGTGGATTCTACTCAGCTTTCTGAGTACTTCCAGGCGTTTGGACCTGTGGCCAGTGTCGTCATGGATAAGGACAAGGTAGAATGAATGCGTCTGAGGGTAAATGAGGAAGTCAGGTATTCCACGCAGCAAAAGAAATGAGAGGAGCCAGGCGTCCGTTTTGGCCAGTTCCTAACGCGGCTTGTCCATGGACTGGTCCAGCTTTGTGAATACCAACCACCCAACTTGAACTTTCTCAGTTCACCGGAGTTAGTCACTGGGGTACTTGTTGGTTGTTTACTTATTCAGCCAATATTTTATTTGCCAATTACCATTAACTGGTAACTTTGTACTAGGCACTGCTTAGAGCTGAATTTAAAAAAATGGTTCATTTTGACACATGTCCCCAGTTTCCCCCACCCCCTTGCCCAATGAACATTATTGAACTCAACCACACGATAGCAACACGACTATCGTATTGCTGTTATGCTTAGATGGTAAGTTAGAGGTAGGGCTTATGTTTTTATTTAGCACAGTGTTCATTGCGTGGATTCTTCATCTACGTTAAATGACTCTAATTACAGCAGGAAGGTGAGAGGATGGGTCCAATATAACCAGTGAAATCACGTCATTGGGAAGAGTGGGGCAATGGGATAGGTAAAGTGAGACTTTCAGAGGCCACCTGGGGTGAGTAACATGTGTGGGATCCAAGTGAAAGAGAGACTTGCTTGTCCAAATGTTTCCCGTTGCTCCAGAAACAGCGAACAGATATTCCCAGTTCCCAGGGTGCTCCCCGTTTAACCTTCCGTGCCCCCTCTCAGACCCCGTGTTTGGGCTCTTGGTTGCGGACCCGTCATCCCTGCCCCTGTTGTGATTTCCCAGGGAGTGTTTGCCATCGTGGAGATGGGGGACGTGGGCTCCCGGGAGGCTGTTCTGTCCCAGCCCCAGCA